ATCTCCCCGGCCCCCTTACATATATTTTTATTAACATCTAAAATAACCACTATATATTAACAAAAAGACAATATGGTAGAAAAATATGCTTCTTTGAGGCTGATTTACAGACTAGAAGTGGTCACTGAAGTGACTGCAACCCCTGAGGTTCCTCTAGTTAGGAACATTCAGACAAAGATACAATATAGCTACCACTGCCCAGAGAGCTGGCGACTCTTTTTTGTTTGGTGGTGTTTTGCTCTGGGGACAGGGTCTCACTTTGCAGTTCACTATGGCCTTGACTTGCTGTGTGAGTCAGGCTGGCCTCAAACTCACAGCGATCCTCCTGCCTTAGCTTCCTAGTTGCTGGGACTACAACTGTGTGCTACCAAACCTGGCAACTTTTTTTAAAAAAGATACATAGTGAAGATTTAGGAAAAACTTAGTATCTGTTAATAAGAGTAAAAAATGTATATAACAGTATATAATAGAGTATCATTTATGGAGAGAAAATACACCTTAGCCCATAAAACCAATTCCTAGCTCCTAATCTTACAAAAATATTTTTAAAGAAATTAAATTCAATAGTAAGCCAGATGTGGTGGCCCGTGCCTATGATCCCAGAATTTGAGAGGCTGAGGCAGGAGGACCACCAAGAGTCCAAGGCCAACCTAGGATACACAGTAAGTCCAAGGCCAGGCTGGACTACATAGTGAGATCCTCAAAAAAAGAAAAAAGGAGGAAATTCTATAGTGAAAGTTGAAAGTAACTTTCAGTTGAGAGTAGCTAAATTACTTATAATACAGTTACACAAGCATCTTTAACCATATACACACAAAGAATGAAGTAGATCAATGTGTACTGACACGGAATAATCCATCTCATAATATTTGACGGCAGGAACAAAGCACAAAACACTATGGATTGTCAGCAGCGCTGTTCCTAAATGCCTGAAATGCCAACGATACATATGCCCACCATCAGTAGGGTGGACTGTGTTAGACCGTGGAATGGTAATATGACACAGCCAGGAGGAGAAAGGAGCTCACTGCCACATGCACCAACATGGGGAATATCACAGATATAATGGAAGTAATAGCCATATACAAAAGAATAAATACTGAGTGACTTAACCAACATAAAGCACCCAACAGGCTAACCTGAGCTGTGTCATTAAAAGTCAGGGTGACAGCCACCCCTGGAAGAAGCACTCGTGACTAGGAGGGACCTTGGGGAGCTCCTGGTCTCCCCTCCAGGACATGCACCATGGCTTACATAGACGGTTTTCACGTTCTTCAAGGAGAGCCGAAATACATGCACAGTGCGACCCCATTAGTATTTGAAATATATACACACAAGGCTGGGTTTCAGCTTCTCTGCTTCTAAAATAGCCATAATAAAAGAGCTCTCTCGAAGAATCTTCACATAAGTGAACACAGTAAGTGCACACAGTAAGCATCAGGCAAGTGTTTTCACGGCTGTGGTTGTGCATACACAACCCATGTATTAGCATGTTTAAAATAATACAGTATGCTTCATAAATTGAAATGAGAAGTGTATAAACAGCACTGGTGAGGAAGGCTGTGGAAACAAGTAAGAGTAAGAAGGCGCTGGAAGGAGGAGGGTAAGCTTTCATTTTGTCTTACCAATTTCACTTTTCAGTTTACCGTGATAACTATTAGGTATTAGTCATGTAACTGATATACATGGGAATAATACTTTTTTGGGGGGCCAGCTCAGCCCGCCCTGAGGGCAGGGCTGGCGCGGCATGGGGTGCCTGGGACCAAACCATAGGCCCCTGCGCCGACCTAAGCTTGCCTAAGCAGGCGCTTTAGACCACTGAGCTACCTCACTGGCCCCTACATGGAAATAATTAAATGCTAAACTACTTTGGAAATGTTCCACAAAATTTACTGAGACAAAAAACAACAACACTCATTCTATGGCATTTAAATTTTAAAGGTAAAACAATTAAAACTATGTGCCTATGTAAGAACTGTGAGTGGACAGATTAGGACCATCTCCCCTAACTATGAAGACACAGTTATGCGCTCCACCTTCAAGAGTAGCTTCCTAGGCACACAGAAACCGACCAGCACGGCTTTCCACGCCTTGCAGGGCGCTGTCAGATGAAACCCGGCTGCTCTCTATCTTTCAACATCTACTTCGACTTTTGATGCCTCGCAAGCAGAGCTCCCCAACCTCTGAAACCTGCCTGTATTTTCCCAGCTATGCGGCTTGCTACCCAGATCTGTGCGACCCACATTGTTCCTGCGCCCCACAGCTCCTCCCAGGGCCAGGCAGCACCCCCACCAAGCTTGCAGGGGGTGGGGACAGCCAGGACACTGCTCTCACGTCCGGGGAGGCCCTGATGTGAGCCCCGCATGATAACCAGCTCTGCAATTGGGATTCAGCACCCTCCCTGGACAGAGTGTCCAGCTCACCGGGCAGTGCCCTTGCAGTAGCTTGTGGCCTTATGTTGTCACCAACTCTTCTTGAGTTTTCACTGGGTGTGTAGGTTACTGATGGGCGCAAAGAGTGTAAATTCCTCTTTACAGGCATTTATCAATATTTCCCCTTACTGCCATTCAATATAGTGATTTGCATGCAGACCCTCAGAGAATAAGTACTGGTGGATCTGTTACACACACAAAATTGCATATATAACAAGGACAAAAGGAGAAAAGAAGGGAAAATTAAAATACACACACAATACCTAGGACAATTGTACTACTAGTTTCTACTAGTTCATTGAAAGGAAGTTAGTGCTTATATTGTTTGATCAATCTTACATGCCTGTATCTTATAATCTGAGCAACTACTGTAAAGGTAACTATGCAATGTAACAGCCGTTGCTAATATCCTATCATCTTGTTTTTAACTTCTGTATCTTTTTTTTTCTCTTTAAGACAAAAAAACGGGGACCTAATTTCAATAATTGCTCTTGCTCTTTTTCTGAGGCACAGGGCACCAACCTGCCGAAGCCATGGGCTCCAGGGAGCAAGGAGGGCAGACGCTCCGGATAGCTACCCTTACCAGGCCGCACCCTCCATCCTGCTACTCTGAAGAGCCCAGCTGGGGAGGGCAGGGAGGGCAGCATTTCCAAGGAATGGAAGAATGAAGAGAGAGTCACACAAAATAATCTGTTCTAATGAGGTCCAAAGTCAAAGCCACCATCCTCTGTAGAGGGGGATGACAGCAGGGTAAGCCTCGGTCACTCTCTGCTAGTCCTTCTGTTCCTCTACACTAATAAGAAAATGCCGGTGAAGGTGGGCTGCCTGCTGCAGGAATCTGGGGTGCTACCAAACATTACAGCCCAGACAGGAAGCACAAGTGGCGCTTTGGCAACGCGGAGGCATCTAAGCCTGACTGGCCGGTTGGCCCCGAGCGGTTACACACTCCCAGTTCTGAGCGCGAGACTGCAGGAGGAGAGCGGCTACATAGAGCCTGGGTGGGGGTGAGCGGAACGGAGACAGTGCTTAAGTGTGACAGGTGTACAGCTCTACACATCTAGGTGTCTTGGGCTAGCTGGGGAGAGGGAAGCGGTGGGGGGGGGGGGCTGAGAAGCAGCCATACAGGAGGGCACAGCAAGGTATAGAATCCGCCGTAGCCTTGCAGTTCCGAGACAGAATGAAGCAGGAGCGTAACCTCTCCTGAGTCCTAGAGACAACAGGGGTCCCAGCACCAGGAGTACCTGCCCCTTCTGGGCGGCCACCCCAACCGGGACGGATGCCCTTGTGTGCACAGTGGGCGCCCTGCTCTGGGGCACGGGGGGCTCCAAGTTAAGAACAGAGGTCCCAGAGCCAGGCTCCTGGATGGCTGTCTGGTCTCCAACAGCTTCGCTATGGGTGCCACCGGCCTTCTGTTCTCTGCTCTACACTTCAACTAGAAAATGGGTGTCACCAGTCATGTTGCCTGGTGACCGTAGGGAAAGAGGAAAATGCCAGCATTTTAATAAAGTTTAATTATTTATATCATATGAATCATCAGAAAGCTCATTCTCAACTACATAAAATATCCAGCAACAAGAAAGGTAAGCGTGACAAACGTGACACAGCATAACTACATGGCACAAACTCCAGGCTGACGCAGTGAGAACCATTAAAAGGTGTCACTCATTCATGCTTTGATTTTAGATTTGAAGGTAAGGAGCAGACAGGAAAATTGGTTTCTACAGCTGAAGTACATTATTTGACCTGCGTCTCTGAATATAGAGCAAAAACTTTTTAAAAAACAAAAAATCCACTATGACTTAAATATTACATTTTTAGCATCTTTCTTCATTCTGGAAAAATTAATTAGCCCAAAGGCAAAAAGCCTACCCCTCTAACCAAGCAACCTACTTGCAAATAGGAACCATCAGATACGCCTCCGCCCACTAGAAGTCATGAGCAGCCCTGCAAGGACACCACAGGCTCCAGCGCCGCGCCCAGCACGAGCCCGCGCGAGGCCACCGCGCCCCCCGGCAGCCGGGAGCAGCGGCTCCCTGCGAGCCGTTCCTACCTGCGACTCCTTCAGTCCCAAGGTGACGGCAAGTTTCTTTCGGTCTGTTTTGCTGATGTACTTCTGCTTCTGAAACATCTTTTCCAGAGCCTTTCTCTGGTCCTCCGAAAACACAGCCCTCCTTAGAATGCCCCTCCGAGTTCTGGAGCTGGAGTCCCGCGACAGCAGCGGCAGCATGCTCTCCTCTCCTGGAGGTGGAGAACACAACAGCTGGTCAGCTCCTCCGGGAGATGCCCAGTAGGGGGGTCGCTACTGTGAATGGGATTTCCAGCCCCAGTTTTTTAAAGAGTCTGCACACGGATTTGCATAATGGTTAAGGCTCAAGTCAACAACTTATGACATTGCCAGTCCTGCGGATGACCCACTACTACTGTGGACTACTGGACTATACTGAATTATTTTGCTGAATTCACATACCTACAATACATAAATGGCAATGGAATCTCTGACAAAACTAAACAAAAAAGGGGGTACAAATGAAGGACCATTTTGTATCTGTATATACAAAATAGGATAGATAGACAGCTACTTTCTCTTAATTCAATGAAGAGAAAGATTTTTACTAATAGTGTCTGGACAGGATATCCTGTCTGCAGCTTGTACTATGAATAACCACTATGAAGACAATAATATGTAATGTATTAATTATTGAAACTGTCCTGCTACTCGGTTTTGAAACTGTCTCATTGCTATTTGTTTCCCAATAAATTAATTAAAAAATTAAAATAAAAAATAAAAAACGAAAGATTAAAGAAAAAAAAAGCTTGGTCAGTGTCAGAGAAACCCGTCTCTCTGAGCTAGCACAGGGCCCGCCTCCTCTGCACCTTGAGCAAACTGTCTTGTTTCACGGTCTATACGCTTCGAGCAGTACTTCTTAGTCTCTTCTTGATAAAGATCAGCTTGAGGATCTATGCGTGCTCCCGCTCCCAGGGGGCGCAGGGAGGGCACACCCTGCATTCCCCTCTCCATGCGCCACGGCAGAAAGCCCACGGTCCAGGTCACCGCGGGCCAGGGCAGAACAGGCAGCACGTGGATTTAGTGCTTCCTTTTTCTCTCTTCACTGATTCCTTCACTGTTTCCAACAAGTGTTTGAATACGTACCATACACCAAGCCCTCTGTCCAACACTACACACTGAGAAATAATACAGATGAATTTTTATTGCTTTCATTACCTATCAAACCTAATAGAAGGTATTTATTTAAATAGCATTACAAGTGTGATAAAGTAAAAGATGTGATCAGAAAATGTGGCGAATATTTCAATTTTTAACAAGTATTCTAGTAAAAGACACCTACTGCCGTGACCCGCCCCAGGCAGCCCCTTGCTTCCGTCTCTCGTGCCCACAGCTCTCGCCCCTTCTGAAGCAGTTCTGCGGGTCTGGTCTAGCTGCACCGCTGTGGCCGCTTGCTGACCTGAGTCAGCTCAGAACATTTACCTTCCCGGTCATTCTGACCCTGGGGGGAGCCAGAAGCTCTGGTGCCAGGTGCAGCCACTACGAGGAGGACACACAGAACTTCCCCTGGACAGAAGCTACCAGAAACATCTACTCAGTGCGCTGTGATCAAAACACTCAGTGAATAAAGTGAAAAGTTTAATATAGTGAAAGATACATTGCCACTAATCCCCGTACAAATAATCAAAATGTATGTGCGCATGCTCACACACAGCTTTGAACACATTTATCCCACCACTCTTGGCAATGTGTCTTGTACTATAATGTTTCATTTAAACATTCACCAACTTTGCATGCTCCTGGGGGTAGGAGTGCGTTGAGAGAAAAATAAAGAATCTGAACTAAATCTGAGGTGCCAGAGAAAAGCTTAGCTGGGGTTCAAAGGGGGAGATGGAAGATGTCAGTCACCTCCTGCTACCTCGAATGCCACTGATCAGCAACTCCGGGAGGTCGGAGACACCATTCCCTATGCCTGTCGTGGCTGGCACAACACTGCTTCTCTGAATTAGTTCATCATTCACTGACGTATCCTGCTTGCCAAGTATGGCAGGCAAAATAATGCATAGCCTCCCTAAAAGGCTCGTGCTGATTCCCAGAACCTGCCTGTCTGAGGCAATCAAAACTGCAAGTGAGAATCAGGGTTGCTGATCTGCTGACCTCGAGATGATCACCCACTTGGGCCCAGTTTAATCCCAGTGTCTGTATAAGTGGAGGAGAGAAGCGAACGAGGAGGCGTAAAAATCTGAAGACACTGCACTTCTGGTGCGGCCCACGGAGAGACTGTGTGTGAGCCAAGGCACGCAGGCCAGAGGCCAGAGGAAGGAGCCCATGGCCTCTTCTGCTCTGGCTCTGAAACTCTCCACTACTTAAAAGTAGCATTCTTCACAAATCTTTGCTAAACATACGGCAGGGTTTGGATCTTAGCACTTGCTGCATGACCTGGCGAAGCTGGTCATCTCCTGCAGCTGGTTCCATGAGGCTGCTCCAGGAATTTGGGTGAATGGCATCCAGGCCTTCAGCAACTCCTGCGCAGTACGGACCCGCAAAGCTGCCTCACAGCTGGATTTCACTCCGCCCTGACAAGAGTCTGCCACCGCTCTCACTCACTAGGATGAAAGGGTGCCATGGTGCTCCAGGCCCACAGCTCACACCAAGACTTCTGGGTTCAAGTCTGGCTCTTTCCCCTGCGTGCTGGCACTCTTACCTCATAAATGTACCCAATCCAATGTTTTTATAGCGCTAAGTATTAAAAATTAAGAGAAAACCACTAAATATCCAAAGGTTAAGAAGTGGACAAGTAAACTATGCAGCTAGCAAAACTTTGAGAAGAAGCCTTAGTGATGAGAAGCACAAAGGTCAGGCAGGAACAAATGAAAAAGAGTATTTTTAAAAACACAATAAATAGGACAATGTATTATGCTTGTAACTAAATACAAAAGATTGAAAAGGCAAAAAATAAGCACTAAGATAGGTCATTACAGAATTATGTGCAAACAATTCATGTCCACTACCTACATTTTAAGTTTGGTTCTATTTTCTAACGGACACAAAGTATCACGGAGCAGTTCTTTGGGAATAATTTGGCAGAGTTGTTGAGTGGCTGCTGAGTAACAAGCGATGACGAATCTAGTCCATCCTGCATGTAATAAGAAATCTCCAAAAAAGTACCAACAGCCAACCCCAGTGAGAGGACTTCCACAGGCCACAGCAGAGCAGGCACATGGAGCACAGGCTAGAAAGCCTGCAACTCCGGGAGGCTGCCAAGGCAGGCCTTAATAGGCAGCAGAGGGCAGAAGATCAATTTCTCAGGTGTGCATCTCAGGAAAGACAGAAGAGAGATGATGCTGGAAGACTAGCACGAAGTAGGGTGAGATTAGAGTCTCACCTAGCCTGCTGTTTCCAGACTGCAGGACACGCTTGGGAAGAATACAGGGGATAAATTAGGAAGGCAGATTAGAGCCAAGGAAGACCAGAAAAATCTGGGTAGAATTTTGAAAGAATGAAACTCCTAACCTGAAAGATACCTAGGATGTGTTCATGTTCTCTAAATTCAAAGAATGAATTTTAGGAGTAACAGGTTAAGAGTAGAACATATTTACTGGGTGAAACAAAGTTTTCTGAGAGAGCAACAGAGGGGACCCAAGTGGGTTGCCAAGGACCCTGAATTCTCTAGAGGCTTTATAGAGCAAAACCATGAGGTGAGGCAGGTCTAAGGTGGGAATCGTGGGAACTCACTAGGTCAGCATGAGGTGGGACAAAACTATGGTCAACCAGTAAAATTGCAAGCACAACTGCCCAAGTAAAATTGATTAAATCCAGGACCAAATGGGGAAGCGAGTCACACAGCCAGCGGGCGTGACTGCAGGTCAGGGGCTTGTCCTGTAGGATGCTGGGTTAGTCACTCTTCCAGGCTTCCTCAAGGTGGCAGAGACCTCTTTAGAATGTCAATCCTGGATGCTTATCTATAGGAATGTATGCATTTAATCTTTTGTCTTGAGGTCTGGCCCACATGCCTGTCTCCCACATTTGCAAGGTGGTGTGGCTTGTGTCTAGCTGTCCGCTCAAAGCCTCATGCCTTCATGGGATAGCTTCTAGAGTTTCTGATTAATTCTTGATCCAATGCTGGCATTGTGGGTGTGCGCAGTACACCAGCCCTGCGGCAGACAATCTTCACACAGACCTAACAAGGGGAGAGAGGGTTACTAGCTGCCTCAGCTACCGCCCCTCCCTTCACTCTCTGCTGTTTTCTGCTGCCATGAACAGCCACCTTTGCCATGTGCCGCTCTGCCCTGGAAGCCAGCCGAGTACGGACCGAACCCTCCACTAACTGTGAACTAAATAAACCTTTCCTTCCTTGATTTTGGGTGTTGAGTATTTTGTTCCAACAAGAGAAAAGTAACTGAGACAAAAGGTATCTTGTCTTCTGCGCTATCTCTTTCAGGGCCTGGCCCTGTCTGACTGCCTGTAACATTTCTATCTAACTCAGCCACCTATAACTACTTGACAAAGAAAACCTCTCCAAGAGATCAAGCTAGCATTTCAGGAAGGCAAAAATTCACAGACCTACAAAGGCAGCAGAAAAATATCTGATTTATTATTTTCTACGTAGTTCGTTAGTAAAGCTTGTGACTCATGTTGAAGTAAAACTCACTTAGATGCTCCTGAGATGTCTAACAGAAACCCATAGGCTTTTGTAACAGTTATTTTTAAAATGAAGAGAAAGCAAATACCCCTCAAGGAAATGCACAAGCACATTATTCTCAACAGTGTGGAAAATAAATACTAAAATTGTGGGGCGGGCATAGACTGGACCGCGATCTCTATGGAGAGACCCGGGTAGCTGCTAACTCAGAGGCTGGACCCCAGACTTCAGTGGCCCCTGAAGAACAAGAACACACAGTTGCACAGGCGAGGAACGTAACAGAGACAGGAAGATTGTCTCCTCCCTTTCTTCGCTACTTGTCCAGGTTCTGTTTGTGTTGTTCCCCTAAAGTGACGTGCCCTGAGCTCCTTCCAGAGCACGTTACAAAGCTGCCATTACTACCTTCAGGCCCCCATGTGTCCCCAAGAGCTTCTGATGGGCCGTCTCTGGATCTAACCATTACATGGATACCACGGTTGATGTTAGAGCAAAGTCATAATGGAACAAGGAACACAGAAAGAGGAGCAGGAGATAATAGGGTCTATTTATATTTTCCTAAAATATTTCATGCGTACACTTCTCTCTAAAGGC